TCAAAGGAGTTTACCTTTTTCTAACCTTGAGCCTGTGATTGGTAAGATCTGGCAATTTCTGTGATGCCTTTAAGTTATCTTTCATATTGATCTTATGCAAAATATGCAGTTTATTTTTACTGTTAATATTTTCGGTAATCTCAGTCTTCTTTGTCTCAATGGTTTTTCCTGATTCTCACTATAGATCTAGCTGAAAGTGACCAGAAATATCCATGCCGGTTATGGTTTGTGTCTGGATGAGTCCCCAAAGCCGCCTGGGGGATGGGTTGTTCAGCGGTGACTGAATGTAGACTTTATGATTGGTGTACTGTTCAGTACTGAGATTGGGGGAGTGAGTGCTGCACCGCCCTGGGGCGGGTCACCTGTTTACAGTATAGGGGAGGGAAAAAGACTTGCGCTTCTCTTCTGCCCCCTTTTGCTCTTGTTGCTTTTGCTGTTGCCCTCTGTCATGTGCCACCCTACCTTCGAACCAGCTGATTATAGACTCAAACCTTTATGCACTATGAGCTAAATAAACTTTTCCTTTCTTAACTCTCAGCATTAGGTATTTTGTTCTAGCAATGGGAGAAAAGTAACTAAGACAATGCCATAGCCTGAATGTTGAAATCCCTTGAAATGTCCTTCACCAGTATAATTAGTCCTTCATTTTAAAATTCAGCCTCACACAATCTTTGGACATGAGTAAAAATGATGAAAAATTGTGCGCACCAAAATTCAGAAAATGTGCTTTCACATGAATGTGTTAAGTATGTTCATACAACATATCACATATATTAAATTATAAAGATTCATACACAGTCATGTCTATTCATTATCAAGTGTACACATTATACATTGTGTCTGTACGCCTATTGATCATTCAGCAATAAGTCTTGAATTTATCCATTTACATAGATATTTACTTCTTCAAAGGTGCCTGCTTGGGTGTTTCCAAATATTTAATTATAATTTATATTGTCATTTGTTTTAAATATTAATGTCAATAATAGTATTTATTTTTAATTAAAAGTTTATATTATTATATTATAATTCAGTGTGTCTTTTGTGTGTTCCATTGGATGTACTAAATGTCTGTCTGGTGGACAATTAGCAGTGGCTTAGTTTTGGGGTACAGCTTATATTAAGTGCATACTGAAAAATCATTTTAGGGTTTGCCCTCCAGTTAGGCCTTGTTTTCAGAGAAATATGGTAGTCATTACTGGGGTTGCAAACTGCTTAATTAGATTGGATATAGTTCTTAAAACATTAATTCACAGCTTATTTTTAAATAAATCTCTTAGTGACTAGCAATAATTATTTTGTTTTTGCTTTGGTATTTTTAAGTTTCAGTATCAGCAGGTAACATTTTTTACTATGTTTTCCAATTCTAAAGCTTTTCTAATCTATGATCCCTTACATATTAATAACTTATTTTCAGTAGTATCTGTCACTGTTCTTTTAAGATATAAACAAATTACATCGATAGAGTGTTTCTAGGAGCATTCTGACTACTATTTTATACAGTAGTCGGCACCTTTGAAGGAGAGGTAAATATCTACATAAATGGATAAACTCAAGACTTACTGCTGAATGGCCAGTAGGAGTACAGACACAATGTATAATGTGCGCACTTGATAAAATGCATTTTATGTTTTCTTGTGGCATTTGTTTGTGTAAATCTGTTTGAAATTCTCATAGGGGGCAGTCTTTAAGTGATAGTTTTCTAAGGGAAAGATAGGGGAATATATAATTGTCCTAATGTTAGTAATATTGGGAAGATTTATGGACTCCCACAGTGACACTCTCTTAACGACACTCAGCTCTCAGACTTTATCATAACAAACACATGTGCCTCCCTGACTCCAAACACGCTTCACAACCTACAAACAGCTTGGTGCCTGGGCTATTACCTTGATTTATTTTACCCTAGGCACAAATCTGACCCTGCATTTGTTACCTTTGAGATTTAAAATAAATCTAAGATTCTAATTCAGTCATTTTCATTCATTTTAGGCCCTATACATGTGGTCCTAAATTAGACATGTGGTCTGTGAATTAGATAGTTTATTTGTAAAAGAAAATGTATGCAATAGATCGTATTATATTTGACAGTATCTCAAATTTAGGTTGCTCCTTCGAGACACTTTCTTCATTTTCTTTTTTTTTTTTATTTTAAAGAGAATAAAACACAAAACAAAGCAAAACAGAACAGAAGAATGCAAGCAACATAGGACTTCAAAACAGGACAATGGGATATCAGCAGTGGCTATCATAATGTCTCGTTTTCTTTAAAATGGTTTATTATACCGTCACACATAGTAATATCTAATGTAACAAAATAGTATAAAACCAATCAAAAGAATGAAAGCATTATAGGACTTCAAAAGCAGACAGCAGGAAATGAACAGTGGTTACTCTTAACATCTCATTTGCTTCAAAAAAGTTGTCCATACTGTCACACATAATAAAATCAAATAAACCGCAATAGAATAGAAGCAATCAAAACAGAAGAATAAAAGCATGATAGGGGGCTGGGGATTTAGCTCAGTGGCATAAGTGCCTGCCTTGCAAGCAGGCGGTTGTGAGTTTGATCCCTGGTACTGATAAAAACTGAAAAAGACAAAAAAAAAAAAAATTAAAAGCATGATAGGACTTCAAAACAAGATGACAAGATGATAGGAAATCAGCAATGGCTACCATAATGTCTTATTTTCTTCAAAATAGCTGTTTATACCATTACTCATCATAAAATCAAACAAAACAAACCAATAAAACCAATTAAACAAATGGATGAAAGCATTATCAGACTTCAAAAGAAGATAGTAGGAAACCAACCATGATTACCATAATATTTTCTATTGTGTTCAGAATAGCTGCTCATACCATCAGACAAAATAAAATCTAACAAAGCAAAACAGAACAAAACCAAACCTAACAAAATTGTGAAAACAATACAACAGTTCAAGACAAGAAGAAATTAACAGTGATTACCACCTTTCCCTCCCAGGTGTTTCCTCCCCTATCATTCTCACAATAACCATTTTGCTTTTGGATCCTATTAACTCCTCCTGTTTCCTATGCTAGCATTCGCACATAGGAGTTCAAACTGTCTTACACATGAACATGATCTCCATTTGCATCCATTTACCTACAAGAGCCTCGAGATTATTCTACTTTATACCTGGATAGCTTTCCACTCTATGAACATAGCAAATCTTCTTATCTATTCTGCAGGTTGATGAGCAAGTTACCTTGCATTTTTTCTGGTCTCCTGTCACATGGAACAATTGTTTCCTCTCCTTTAATTTTCAGTCTATGAATTTCCTTTTGAGTTAAATGTGTTCCTTTTATACAGTATATTGATGGATCTTGTTTCTTGATCCATTCTTCCTGTGTTTCCTTTTATTGCTGAACTGAGGCCATCTACATTCATGGTTACAACCAGCATACATTGGTTTGTCTCTTCCTTGCTATCCTCCTGTTGTGGCCCTCCACTTTTCTTCTTCATTCAATTGCCTGTCTTGTGTGGTAATCCTCCCCTGCTGCTCTTCCTGGAACCATGGTCATCTTTATCTCTCTTTAGAATATACTTTTAACATTCTCTATAGGGTTGGTTTAGTGGTCATGAATTTCTACAGTTGTTCTTTATCATGGAAGTATCCTATTTTTCCATCAATTTTGAAAGATAGTTTTGCAGAGTACATTAATCTGTATTGGAATTTGTTTTCTTTCAGTATTTGAAACACTTCAGTCCAAACTCTTCTTGACTTAATGGTTTGTGTTGACAAGTCTGCCACCATTCTGAATGTTTTGCCTCTATAGGTGACTTGTTTCGTTTCTCTAATAGCTTTTAATAATCTGTTCTTGCGCTGAATTTCTGGGATCTTGATGATTATGTGTCTGGGTATAGATTTACTTTGGTTATGACTAAGTGGAGTTCTATATGCCTCATTTACCTGCATGCCAGATCCTTTTCCCATGTTTGGAAAGTTTTCTGCTATTACTTCTGCAAATAGCTTTTTAATTTCATTTGTATTGACTCCTGCTTCTTTCCTAATACCAATAACTGTTAAATTATGCTTCTTTGCATCATCTGAAGCCTTTGAATTGTTGTTTCCTGATTACATGTTATTTTGAAGAGATCTTTCCTTTCATGATAGCTAGCTGCAATCCTATCTTCAAGATTTGAAAGTCTATAGTCTCTTTCAAGCAGTTTTGCCAGGTTTCAGTGACTTTTTAATTTTCTGAATATCTCTTTGAGTCTGCTTCATGCATTATGATTCCTTTCTATATTGTTCATTCCAGGTTTCTATCATTTACCTATGCTCTTCTTTTTTTTTTTTTTTAATCTATGTCTTCTTTAGATACGCTGAGCATTTCTTTCATTATGTTTGTGATTTCTTCTTTTACCTGAGTTATTGTTTCTGATTTGACTGCTTTTACAATCTTGAGAAGTTGCTATCCTCTCAGAGATTTTGGGACTGTGACTTCCATTTTCATCCAGGACTGTATCTCCCAGACTTGTTCTGTGTGGGCTGGAGATCTGAGATTGCCTTTTACTCCTTCATCTTGAATTATCCTGGGTTCCTCACAACCAGGTTGTGGGGCCCCAAAAACTTCCTATGTTGGCTGCCCCTCTGTGGGGGGGTGGTGGTGGTGGTGGAATGCACAGGGCTTACCTGGCTGTGTGTCCCTGCTCCTATTAGATGCCTGCAGGAAGCAGCATTTTGGTAGAGTTGGCTGGAAGGTGGAGGCAGATCTGCTGGCTCTCTCTGTCTGCACTAGTTGCCTTCAAGAAGGAGCCTTCCAGTGACATCAGCCTCTTTTATTTTCTTATGCTGACACTTAATAACTATTGTGATAACTTAAAATATATTTATTTTGTATTATGATTTTGAAGGAGTCCTAAAAGAGGAAAATTAAAGGAAATAAAAGTATAATCCACAAATACATAGTGTCCATTAATATCTTTACTTCTTAGAGAAGTTGAAATAATTTAAATTTAATTTCTTCTCTTTCAGTATTGTGTTACTGCTAAGCCAAAAACAGACACTTGAAGAGCTGAAACAATCAGTTCAGCAGCTGAGATGCACTGAGGCAAAGTTTGCAGCCCAGAAAGAATTATTAGAGCAAAAAGTACAAGAAAATGATGGAAAAGAGCCACCTCCAGTAGTAAATTATGAAGAGGATGCACGATCAGTTCCATCCATGGTAAGCTAGAGAGTAATCTGATGAGAATCTTGAAAGAGTAGTGTCTAGGTTATTAGTGAATACAAAAATTGTGATTTGCTATAACAAATTATCACTCTTGTTAAATGCAGGTCCTATTAAACTTGTTTGTAAATGCAAAATAGACTTGTCAGTCACCTCTCACCTCAGGTCACCTGGTGGTTCTTTAAGGAACCACCCATAGAGTCAGAGGAAAAAAAGTTCTTCTCTTGCCTTCAAAACTGAAAAGAAAGACTGCAATTGTTTTTATTCCTGGGAAACAGCAGGAAGATAGGGTGTTATTCTTAAGATAGAAGTAAGACATAAGGAGAAAGCTATTTAATTTTTCTTTATTTTAAATAACAGTAGAATTTACCTTAGATTGATGGTGTGTTATTGTTTTCACCATGCAAACTATTGATTTAGTTATTTTTCTCATAAATAAGATCTTTATAGTACATTAAATATCACCAACTCAAAATTTAATTTTTTATAGTTTTAGTATCAGTTTAAGAATGCTTACTCGTATGGTCCTTTTTCCTTCTTCCCTTTCTCTCTTTCTATCTCTCTCTCTCTCCCTTTCTCATTCCTACCTTTCTTTCCATTTCTCTTTCTGTATGTGGATGATTCTTATTAAGGAGCAGTTTACCTGATCCAACAGGGACATTTGGCAGCTCCAGGTGCAACTAGTGGATGCGTCGGTATCCAGAGTCTGTGAAGCATTGTCCAGGGCACTGAACAGTTCCTCCATCACATCCCCAGTGAAAGATTATTAAAACCAAATGTCAGTAGCGCAAGGTCTGAGCTATTTTTTGTGGTTTGCTGGATTTTTCTATCTATTCTATAGATAGAAATATTATGGTTAATGAATTTATAGTTGATATTTTAGAAGATTTTAGTTATGTAGTTCTAAGTAGTACAGTTTGATTGTTAAGTAGATGTGGATGTCTCCTTGGGTGAAAAAGACTGATACGATATAAATCTTCAGTAAAAGTCGAAATGGCTATGAAATAGTAAATATTGTGGTTATTGCCTCTTTGAGCCATGATAATGAACACATCAATTTATGAATTATAATTACTTCTATAAGGATCATAGTAAATGTAAAATGTATCAAGGATTTTGTTAAATTTTCTTTGTTGCTTTACAATTTTATTTTAAATTTTGATAATATTGGGATTTAACCCAGGGCCATTGTACCACTGAGCTACATTGCCACCATTTTTATTTTTTTACTTTTAGTGGGGTCTCACAAAGTTGCCTGCACTGGCCTTGAACTTGTGATCCTCCTGCTTCAGTTTCCTAATTAGCCAGGGTGTTGAAGTGTGCCATCAGATCTGGCATTTTATGATTCTTCCTGTCTGGCATATGCATTCTTTTGTAGGAGTATCAGGTTTTCTTTTTCTACATGGCTTTTGAAAATCTCAAATGTTTGTCTTCTCAGGATGCCTTTTAAGATGTTCCCATGTTTTCAGGTTGGTGTAGAGTTAATTAATTAGTTAATGACTTGATTTAATAGCCAGATTGGTTAACACTGGGTAATTTGATTTTATATACAGATAACACCTGTGAACAATATGACAAAATAAAAGAGTTACTCAGTTTGTACATGTTTGAGATATTGTGTTCTCATTCCTTGTGTGGGGTTGGTGCATATGCATACTATATCTTAATTCCTCTTTTCTTTCCCTAACCTCCTTCCTGCCTCCATCCACCTCTTGATCTCCTTCCTTGTTTTGTAGATTTGCTGAACGTAGTGGTTACATTCCAGTAGTTAATTCTTATGAAGAATTTGTGATCATGTGAAGTTTACTGTTTCGTAATCATTGAGTAAACGCATTAATCATCACATGAATTGAGTAAACTATTTCAGGTATAATGTATAATAAAACTTAAAAGTAGTTTATTCCTCTTGAGACCGTCAACTCTTCTTAACAATTTATTAAGTGGTGATAAATACCTTGTTAATTTTACAAAGTAGTATTACATATTTAATTTTATCCAATTTATTTTAAATAACTACAATTTTTATTACATCTTATCTATTAGTTAAAACAATGCCCTTAGTAAGTCTTAAATGAAAAATTAAAATTTATTAAGTCTTCGTTAAATTTATCAATTTTATTATTTATTATGCATACTACTGAAATATAGCAGTTTATTTATAAATGAAAACAAATGAACAGTGAATATTGCTTCAGAAATTGGAAAAAAAAGAATACCAATAGTACTAAATAACCCAGCCTTTTATTTATTTTCTTCAGGTTCAGAGTTTCTGATTTAATTATATAAAGATGAAGGGTCAGTATGCAATCTAAAAATATTTATTACAATTATATCAATACTTTAATAAACTATACAAAAGGAACAACGAGACAAACATTTGCATTTAGAGAACTGCATATTAGTCAAGCCAGATCCCTGCTGAGGGAATTCCTGGCAAGACCTCTTTTATCTGTGAGAACACAGAGCAATCCTAGTTGAGACATATGCATTCATCTGCTTGCCCAGCATAGTCAGATCTTCACTTTGTGATGATTTCCTTTTACTGTGAATGTATATTGTCTAGTGTCTGCTTCTTACAGCAGACATTTACCTTCCTTATCCACCAACCACTGGAGGAGGACTGGGACCATGAAGAGATTGATTTGACCCATTCTTTGGGGAGGGTTTCCTGGTGGTCCTCTTCCATCATCGTATCTGGAATTAGATGAATTTTTGTAGCCTTTTCCTTTTTTTACATCTTGTTGAAACAGAGTTTTGAAAAATAAAACCACAAACTCAGCTATTCCCCAGAAGAAATCTGTTATTAATGATAGTCTCCATGGGAACTAACTGTGATTGTCTGACACTTACCCATTCGAGTTGTAAACCCATCTTTCCTTTCTTCTGGCTTCAGAGCTCAAATTTCTCAGTTTTATAAAAGAATGCTATACATTGTTTAAAGCAGTAGGTTAGTATTTTATAAATCAGATAGGGCATCCCTCAAATTATTACCAATAATGATATTTTATACTTACAAAGAAAGTAAGGTAAATAACATTCAGAAGGTAATGTCTGAACAACGTCTTGAAACAGGTTGCTACTATACTATTTTGATATCTAGAGAAAGAGCATTCTAGTACAGGGTGCATCCACAGCAGAAAACTGCAGGGAATATCTGGACTATGCCATTACTGCAAGAAAGATTGAGTGGAGGAAGAGGAAGTATAGGGAATGTGGTTAGGCCAGAAATAAAGAGCTTTTAAGGCTTTGTGGATCACAGTGAAAGATTGTGTCTGTTCTCTGAAATAGGGAGTTATTGCTTTGGAGTGTTATAACGGGAATAACATGCTAAGAGTTGGATTTAAATGGACCACTGTAGCAGTAGTTGAGTGTGTGATGAGAATGATGTATTTAAAGGGAGCAAAGATGGATGAATGAGACTATTGGAATTACATAATAGAAGATAGTGATTTGAGCAGGGATGGTAATACTAAATAGGTTCAGAAGTGTTTGATTTCTGGATTTATTTTGAAGGTTGAGCTCATGATATTTCCTCTGATTATAAAATATGAGAAGACTCCTAGATGACTTAAAGATTTTCAGTCAGTGTATTGGAGGAATGGAATTGATTTTGAGTGAAACAGAAAAACCATAGCTGAAGCAGTTTTGATAAGGAAGATCAAGACTTCAGTTAAACTTTTCAAAAAAGATAAGACAGTAGAAATTTGAATATTTGGGTGGGGAGCCCAGGAACATGATTTGGACTACAGATATAAATTGGAGAGTTACCGGTATCATTGTTATTTAAAATTGTGCAAGGTACAGTTGTTTGACTACAAAGTGACTGAATGAGAAAGACTGGAGAGGAAGAGAAGAACAAGGGCCGAAGTTTGAGCACTTTAGTTTGAGGTCTGCAAGAGGGGAAATATTAGAAGAGACCAAGGAAAACATAGTGCAGAAGAAAATGAAGACAATTAGGTGATCTTGAAGCCTCATGTAGAAAAGATTTCGAGTCAGAGGAAATAATCATATTAAATGTCATTGATGGATGTTATAAGGTGAGAAAAGGTGGTCGAGCACTGGAGTTAGCAACATGGAAATCACTAACAAGATTCAGTGGGATGTTGACGATAAAGCCCTATTTAAGCTGAGCCCAAGGGAAGGAAAAGAGAATTATATATAGTAGGTAAAGACAAAATTTTTAAGGATCTGTGCTGAAAAAGTGTTCAAAAATAGAGTAGTAAATTTGAGAATATTGAGTATTTAAAAAAAAAAAGAATTTTGTCATATCTGAATATTGAATGTATTCATCTAGAAGGAAGACAAAAATTAATCATTTTGGGAAATAAATTACCTGAGTAAATTCTTTAGGTAGATGGAAGATGTAGGCATTTAATAATCAGAAGATCAGATTCATATTGGCATAGTCATTGACAGGTAAGGTGGTAGTTCTTGAGAGCAGGTGTTTATGCTGGTGGGGTACTGGAGTATTCTCTTTTGATTTCTTTGTATCCTCAGTAAAGTAGAAGTCAAGGTCACTGGCTGAGAGTGAAGATGTATGAAGAGGTATTGGATGTTTGAAGAACAGGGGAGGATCTGAAATCATCTAGGAATGAGAGGATGAATAGATTCTGACAATATTGTGTGATTGCTGAGGAATGTCAAGGGCCATTTAAGATTGCGGTTGTGTACTGGATATGTGGTGGGCTGTACAGTATTAGAATAACAAATCTAAGGCAGAACTATTCAGCACGATTGTAGTTTTCTACCAGGGTATTTTGTCGGGTTACAAAGTTGATGGCCTAGAGAAGACAAAATCAGTGACCCCTGGGGATTTAGCTCAGCGGCATAAGCGCCTGCCTTGCAAGTGCGCGGTCGTGAATTCGATCCCCAGTACCAAAAAAAAAAAAAAAAAAAAAAAAAGAGAAGACAGAATCTACCTTCTGACAGCGCTGCATTTGTTTAAGGCTGCTATATATGCTTACTCAGTCAAGTCAGAGGGGCAAGTAGCGATGGTT